ACTGGAAGCTTGAATAGGTATCATTTTTATTCCAATACGAATAATTGAAAAATCATTACAAGTAAATAAAGTTTGCTCTCAACCAGTTTTCTTTCGATAAAGTGTGTTATATAAATTGGACACAAAATTGTTTTAGAAAATTAGGTTAAAAAAAAAGGTTTTTTGGCAGAATTGCGGTTAATATAGAATAAGAAATCTGTTTATGTACTTAGAATGAGTATAAAACTGGCGACTGTCCAATTATTAATAAATTACCAAAAAAAATCGATTTCTTTCATTGCTTGTTCATTGTCAAGGCTATCTATAAATATTTTTTTATTGATGTGTAAGTATAGCAAGCTTTTGTTAAAAATTGGGCTTTTTTTATCGCTATGCCTGTTGTACTACTTCTTTTTTAAAGTTTTTATTAAAAAATTTAAGTTAAATATACCCCTTTTTTCATAAATAACATATATCAAAATCGAGGTTTCATGTATTTAGATTTTCTTTAAATATTAATTGAACTTTTAATTTTATGAAAAGTACCAAATATTTTAAATTCGGTAATCGACAAATCAACCAAATTGTTCAGACTGGAGAATTTCTGAAATACCATGGAATTTGGATTGATCGTGGCAGAATTTTAATAAAATTAGTTGAAATTTTTCAGATACGAGTTTTTATTTGTCACCTGTAAAATTCGAGTTTTTCGACATAACACAGCAAGGATATTTTTTTAAGTTAAGCGCCATGTAGCTCAAAAACGGGCTATAATAAAATTATGAATATATACTCGTATCAGGTTATTAACTTTTAATAGTTATCTAGTTATTTTATGTTAATGTAGTATATTTAATTTTAAAAAAGATGAATAAATAATAATAATAATAATAATAATAATAATAATAATAATCTCCCTAATTCACCCCCTTACGAGTGAATTTCAACCCCTGAAGTCGACTGAACGACTTGTGTAGGGGAAGGGACGGCTATTATTATTATTTGCCGTGACGCTCCGGGGCGACTTAAAGATGATTGATGGTGCCATTTGACTTACAGGTGAGGAAAACCCGGAAAACCTCACCCACTATCATCAAGACGGTAATGCATGGCGATTATTTAATCTGCATGTCATATCAACAGAAATTGAATTTCTATTAATACGGCACACATCAAATCCTAAACCGAACCATGCAATTTTATTAAAAATCCACATGATCTGGTCTGGGATTCGAAGCCCAGCAGAAACTAAAACTAATATTGAAAATTCTAAAAATCGATAAATCAATAAAAATGTTTCAAACAAACCCAACTAATTTGTAGTCACATAATAGAGAGACTAAAAAGCCAATACGGCAATTTCTGAAATCAACAAATCTTTAAAAGTATCCGCAATAAATTGAAAAAAATAATTAAAACAATATGACGCGCGAGCCATTTTCGATTAGTCAGGTCCTGCTCCAAGCCTTGCATCCCTCTCTGCCTTATTTGGGTTTCTTACTTCCTCCATTTTTCTGTTACCAAGAATATTCGATGAAGTGAGTAAACCCCCGAATCCTCCTCCCAAAGATACGCTTATGGAACCTGACAGTCGAAATAAACTAGAATTTTCGAGACAGGTCTGGAGCGTAACGTTTGTATAAATAAATAGAACTATTTTGCCATTTAATAAATAAATGTAAATATTAGTGTATTTAGTGAAAACAAATTTAATAATAAACTGTTTAAAATAAATGTTACAATTATTTTTAATTTATTAAAAAAAAGTCAGCCAAAAAATATACAGGGTGTTTTTTAATAATATGCTAATATTTAAGGGGGGTGATTCTTGGAACCATTTAAAAAAAAAACTTTATATGAATGTATGTTCTAAACGTCTTAACTTTTGAGATACAGGGTGGTATAGTTGTAAGAAAAAAATCAATTTTTTGTCATTTTGATACCCCTTTAAATATTTTTATAAAATTTGGTGTTCGGCGTTTATGTATTAAAGATCATTTTTTGACGGAAGAAACATTTTTTTTTTAATTTTAAGTGGCGCTGTGCTGGAGTGATACGCCACTGCTTTCTCTTAAAATAAAAGTTATTATTTTTCTTGAATTTTTTCGTACGACTCACAGTTTTAACAAAAGTTAAGACGTTTTAGAACATATATTCATGTGAGGTTTTTTTCTTAAAATGGGTCCAAGAATTACCCCCTTAAATATTAGCATGTTATCAAGTTATCAAGTATCATGTTATAATCAAGTGCCTATAAGACCATGCAATATTTTAAATTATTGTAAAATCGATAATTTAACACAATATAATGTCAGTATTTCAATAACTGAAATTTTAAAATATACTTATTCTAAAACTATACTGCCGTGTTAATTCAAATGGCCGTAGCTACAATTTTCCTTGAAATAAAGATATGACCACTACGCATGACAACAATGAATTTTTTGTCCATCTTTATAATTTATAAAACCTGATATTTAACGCTTAGAAATTTGGGCGTAAGTGATGTTTCTTAAAAAATCGATTTTTTTCACGTATAAGTATTAAACAGATACGGCCATTTGAATTAACACGGCAGTATATACATTAAATTGGAAAAAAAATTAACTGTTTTTTTATTTAAAAAAAAAAAAAATAATATCTATTTTTTAAATTATTTTCAATTTATTTAAAAAACGTCATGGCCAAAAAATATATAATCTAGAGCCTAAAATACCAATCTATTAAATTGTAAACTCGATAAATCAACAAAATGTTTCAAACAATCCCAATAATTGGTGGTCACATTATATTAGTATTATTAATTAATTAATCAACAAAATATTATTAAACCAAAACTATACGAAGTAAATTGGCACAGACTACAAAACAAAAAAGTATGCTATTGCGTTATAAGTGGCAAATCTGTCAAATAATAGCATTTTTTTATTTGGTCCACATTATAAAAAAAAATTAATCTAACTATATGAAACTAATTTAATTGCGAGTATTAAAACTAAAATTCTAAAAGTGGCCTTGTCGGTGAGGACAGAGCATCTGCCTTCCATTGGAATATCCCGGAATCGAATTTTGGCTGGAGACTTATTAAATTAAATCTTTTTTATTTTCATGTTTATTTTATTTTAAAATTAGTAAAATTCATTAATTATTTTAAAATTAGTAATTTTTCTTAATAACCTAAAAATTTGTAGATTTTCGTTAGTAAGTCGTAGAAAAAATATAATGTACAACTCGAGTGGATTTACACTCTTGTTGCACAAACTACTATTAAACCGTGTTTTTTTTTTTTTAATTATGTTTAATTTATTTAAAAAACCACAGTCCAAAAATAAATAATCAAGAAACTAAAACACCAATATATAGTTAAATTCTAAAATCGATAAATCAATAAAAATGTTGCAAAAAACCCGAACAATTAATAATCTCATAATCAATAGACTAAAAAGCCAGTATTACAATTTCTGAAATCAGCAAATGTTTAAAATTTACCTGCCCTAAAACTAATAAATTAGAAAATCGGGTCGGTAGTGTAGCGGTCTAACGCGCTTATATTCATTTATAGGCAAGTTTATGAGTCTGAGACTGCTGGGCTTCGAATCGCAGACCAGACCATGTGGATTTTTAATTAAATTGCATGGTTCGGTTTAGGATTTGATGTGTGCCGTATTAATAGAAATTCAATTTCTGTTGATATGACATGCAGATTAAAAAATCGCCATGCATTACCGTCTCGATGATGGTGGGTGAGGTTTTCCGGGTTTTCCTCACCTGTAAGTCAAATGGCACCTTCAATCATCTTTAAGTCGCCCCGGAGCGCCACGGCAAATAATAATAATAACCGTCCCTTCCCCTACACAAGTCGTTCAGTCGACTTCAGGGGTTGAAATTCACTCGTAAGGGGGTGAATTAGGCAGAGTATTATTATTATTATTATTATTATTATTATTATTATTATTATTATTATTATTATTATTATTATTATTATTATTATTAAAAATAAATCCATATATTTTTTAAAATTATTTTTAATTTATTTTGAAAAACGTGATAGTCAAAAAAAAATATATATATAAATCGAGATATTAAAACAACAATGCTGTAAACTCAAAAACCGAAAAATCAATAAATAAAAAATTCAAACAAACCCAAAAGTTTGATTAAAAAAAATAAACGGTAAAAATTTAAACACATGACTTATGTGTATATTTATTTAAAATTGCAAATCGAAAATTAGTCGTATTAAAAAAAAATAAAGAGTATAAATGTACACACATGACTTATGTGTATTTTTATTTAAAATTTTAAATCGAAAATTAAAAAAAAAAGATTTAACGGAATTTATTTTTAATTTTTTTTAATTCAATTTTAATCGAATTCAAAAATTATCCATTACATTATCAATTTCTCATATCTTGTATGAACCATAAAGAGAGAAAACAAACTATTTACCGCAACAAAAAATTCTAGTAAGAGACTAGTTTCGTTCTACAATACCGTTATTAGGCCTACAAGCGGTCTACAAGATCATTATTAGTCTTAAAAACGGTCTACTAGGCTATCAGTGGGCGTACAAGCAGTCTACAAATCTTTCACTAGGCCTACAAGCTTAAAAAACCAGTCGCGGATTGCACCGATTAAACAATTTTGGTGTGATGAAGATTTAAGATTTTTCTTTAAAAAGTATATAAATACTTAATCCAGACTTAAGATGCTACTGTAAATTATAAAATCAACAAAAAATATCTACCAGCAATGTTATTTATTTATCTATAATCGGAAATTGAGTACCTTCTTTAAACAAAACAAAAAACAAATAAAAGACCACCCCGTAAGATATCCACCGTCACCATACATATCTGATAACAACAACAGCGTATCGCACAGTATCGTCTTTCCCCCATAATATCGATTTCGATATCACCAATGGCCACCGTCTGACAACAGACGATCAAAAGTCGCCTTTGCCTTCTGTCTTGTGATTGTGACACATATTTCAAAACGCTCGAGTGAGTGCTCCAGCGAAGCAATTGTCATTTGTCTGCTCTCGCGCTCATTTGCTTCCTTCCGTAGCCAACGTGCGCTCCCATTGAATCTTCGATGTTCTGCTCCATAGTGACGGTGAACGGTGTTGCGACCGGCTTCCTGGTTAGTTAAATAGAATTATCGGGTAGCTGTTTGTTTTAATTTTTTTTAATAGCCAAGTGAGTGGGTTACGGTTAAACAGTGTATGTGTTCGGTGTGGGAAAAAAATGGATTTTTACGATAAGGACGATTTGTATCGCCAGCTGGATCAGCTGGAAGAGGAGTTTAATGTTGTTTTGAGGAAAGACACAGTTTCTTCTGTGCGCGGTAGTAATAGTAATAGCAGCTCCAGCCAATATATGGTGTTCTCTGATTATGGGTTAAATACCAGAAAGGATTTGGAAGATTATTGGGCATGGTTAGTATAAGATTTTTTTTTAATTAATTTTAATTTTTAAAAGTAATAGGTATTACGAGTATATTAGTAACAGTAAAAGTCTTGATAAAAGTCACCAAAATGTTATTAACTAAAATTCTTATTTTAATGCATTCCGTTAAATATAGTTTCCTAAGTATATTTAACGAATGATTAATTAATAAGAGCGATTAATGTTCGACGTTATTTTAACTGTTAAAATTATTAATCGGCGTTTAATGCACGGTAAATAAGTATATTTATTGATTTGTTATTGTGTACTAAAATTGTTCCATAGTAGAACAAATTTATTAATAATCGATGTTATATATTGATGAAATTCGTAAATATGCACAGGGTCGACAGAAATAATTATTTAACGCATGAGTGTATAAAAGCGATTAACAATTGAATCGGTGAGAATAAGAACAGTACAAGTCCAAATGTTGCAATTTTGGGAAAACGAAAAAACTCTCTGACAAGTTAGTTATTAATTTTAAGAGTTTCGCGTGCATATAATAGTTTTAGTGTATCATTTTATACGTCGTTTAAACTAAAAATAAAATTTGTTGGTTTATGATTTTTTCACTTATACACAAATAACTAACTTGGACTTGTACTGTTCTTAATCTCAATCTGCGTTATTGTTAAAATACTTGACCAAGTTTTTTTTTAATAAAAAACAACATATCAAAACACACTTTATTATAATACCAAAATACAGAATAATAAATTTTAATGATTATCATCGTCTTTGTTTGTTGTTGGCCATGAAATAATGTGGTAATAAAACTCCAGCTGCTCTCCCTCTACATATTTCATGATCTGCCTTATATCGTTCATCTTTTTAAAGTTGATTGGCACTGGCCCAGAATAGGCTTTAGTAGATGAAACCTCTGGATTCTGATTTTGTTTTAGTAGTTTAAAAGTGTAGGATAAAGCTCCGTCAATAAAATCGAGGCACTTAAGGAGGTCCTTTCGCCACCAATGTTAAATAAAAAATATTAGATTATGACTAAAATTAATTTTTTTTCTAATAGTTGAAGTCCTTATTTATCTAATGTTGAACTTTTAACTATACCTTACCGTAAAAATGTTTGAGAATTTTTTTTAAAAATGTGAGTATTTGTGCAGTGTCTTATGAGAAAATAAGACCTCAACAACAATTCTCGAATTATATTATTATTTATTGATTAGATGGAGTAGAAAAAAACTAAAAATAGGGTTTTTGAAATATTTATGTTTTGTTTTTTGCAATAAAATAAATAGGTTACCTTGGCATTTATTGAGAAATTAATATTAAAAAAAAATTTGAAGTAACCTAGTTGAAAATTTTTTGTGATTTTTTATAATTAATTTCTCAATAAATTCCACGGTAACCTATATATTTTATTGAAATTTCCACATCTGTAATTTTGAACCAATCAAAATACGTGTTTTTGACAGATCACCATGGCAACGGAGGTATTTTAGTGGAAATTTTTTTCTCGTGGGGTACCCAACAGCGAATTATACTGGAAATTTTTTGACGTTTACAATAACAGACCATTTTTGACAGACTGGTTTTTATTTGTTCACATAATAGGTTTAGTTTTGATACATTTTAGTTACAATGCTAAGGTGTTTTCTATATTCTTCGGCCACTTCTTTTCTTCTTAATGGCGAAAATGCAGGACTTTGGATGCTTTGAATTATGTGTCTATGTCTAATAAAATATATATAATATTTAGACACTAATTTATTTACCTTTTTCCCATTCAGCACTTTGAATTTTGCGTAGTTTAGGTGCAAATATTCGTGGACAATTCGGAACAAATTTTAGTTTTTCGAGTTGGAGCCACAATCCTCTATTAATCCGAGTAAGTAAGTCATGGTGCAATGATTGATCATTACATCAGACAATTTCACGCATATTTTGCATAGCGTATGATTTTCAAATCGATTCATTTTTAAACAAATAGGTAATTTTGTTGGTTTTACTTGCTGTGCAATATTCTTTATCGCAACAAAACGCGAGTTATTTAATGTTTTGAACTGTCAAAATACAATGATAACAGCCTCCTACGATTGATGCTTGCTGACGCTGGTTATGAATTTCATACCATTTTAAAGCGCTCATAACGCATGTTAATAAAAACGCAGAAAAACAATTTTCTACCACTTGTAGTTATTCAAAACTTACGTAAAATTAAAGAATATACTATTTTCTATTTTTAAATGGTATTCCCATGCAACTACAATAAGTAGAAATAAGCAATTTGAAGGCCTAAATAATTGCTGCGAAACATTTTTTTACGTCGGGCCGCTTGACAACTTCAAAACTGAAATTATATTCGAGGTTAGGGTCTCACTTAGTTACCATGACAACTCAACAATCAAGGCGACAACACCTTTTATGTTTCACTGGTGACTTGGAGAAAATAATTTGCATTGTTGAGAAACGAAAAATAAATTTTAAAAATATTTAATTTTCAACCATAATTCGGCGTGGAATTTTCTTACCGAATACCACGCGAGGTCAAATTAATATCAGGAAATTTTTTCTCGCTCATGAATATTTTTAGAAAATATTCATGAGCTCGAAAAAATTTCCGGAAATAATTTGACCTCTAGTGGTATTACTAGTGAAAAAAACAAAACCAAAATATTTCAAAAACCTTATTTTTAGTTTTTTTCTACTCCATCTAATCAATAAATAATAGTAAAATTAATTATAATTCGAAAATTGTTGTTGAAGTCTTACTTTCTCGTAAGACACTGTACACACACATTTTTAAAAAAAAAATTCTCAAAAATTTGCACGGTAAGGTATAGTTAAAAGTTCACTATTAGATAAATAAGGACTTCTACTATTAGAAAAAAATTAATTTCAGTCATAATCTAATATTTTTATTTAACATTGGTGGCGAAAGGACATCCTTAACATAGCCGGGATAAGACGCATCATACACAAACTGCGTGTATTTGGAAATCGTAAAATTTTCCTTTTCCCTATTTGATAGATTTGTGGAAGTTTTTTTATAGAAGGTTGGCCACTAGTTTTTAAAATCTAATATATCGTTGTAAGAAATGAAATCTATGGCAAAAGGCATTTTTTTTCTGGAATTTTTAATCATATCCTTGTATTCATCAGGAACGTAAATACGATCACATTTTCTGATCAATCTTTTTGCGCTTCCAAAAAAGAGTGGCCGCGAATTGGGAAGTGGTGGTAAATTTTTTTAAAACTCCGACTAATTTGTAGAGTGTTATTTTTATTCTGTCCTGGACATGCGTCAGAAAAAATGTGCAATTCTTCAACTTCTTGGGGTATATGATTTGAAATATAATCGTTCAAAAAGGTACACACCTCATTGGAGCCCTTTAGGGCTTGACCCTCATGGTACATATAAAAATGGCCATCGCCTATTCGCAAGTTATGGATTTCAAATGCATAAACCCAAAGCTGCCTGTAATAACATATTTCCTGCACAGGTAAAACTGGGAGGGGCAAATTCTGCATGTAATCAAACGTGATTCCTAATATCTCAGGGTGGTCCTTGGATAGTGCCTGTACTTCTTGCAGTTTACTATGGCCCTTTTTTTGGCCCTTCGTTTGTGAACCATAAGCTCTGCTGCACACACCCTTTTGGCATTGTCGTTTAAACTTTTATCTCTTAATCTCGTACCAGGTCGTTCGCATTCGCTACAGACATCGACTTGTGGTCTGCCAAACTTTAAAGAGTAATTTTCATTGAAATATTTTAAAAACAATTCATATTTAACAATGTTATTCAATTCAGGGTGTTTCTTGATAAAAAGGTCGAACAAAATTTTTACGTTAAGTTTGGAGTCCAAATATTTAATGTCTTTTGCACCATAATGTGAAGTTTTATATGGAAAGGAATCGATATGCATTTGCATTTTAGTCCTGGTTTCGGCAGTAACTGAGGTAGGTCTGGTGTTGTGCTTTCCACGCATGTCTTTAGGAGATTCTCCTTTACTGAGCAACATATTTAGGCGTTGTACACGGAAGTGAGATATGGCATACAAATTGAGAAAAGCCTGTTTACATACCGGCACTCGTTCTTCAATTTTTTGAACAAAGTATTGAAAATGTGCAGTTCTTGGCTTTGCATTGAGTTCATCGCCATCGGCCACTCGTTTGCGACGTCTTACAATGGGTGTTGTTTCCATTAAACCTTGAAGGAAAGTGTCCTGTTCGTTTTTTGGCTTTCCATCATATAATTTAGAAAATATTAGCTGTTTTTCTTCGTCATTAAATTTGCTTATACATTTTAGTTTACACCTACAAAAGTAAAACGCACTTTTGCCAGTTAAAAACAATAATGAGCAATAAAAACTTAAGTGCATCTTTTTTGCTTCCAAAAACTTCCCAGATGTAGATATATACGCTTTTCCTACTTGACGTGCAAGCTTCCTCTTGTTAACTTTCCATTTTTCAGGATTTCTGGTACGTTTTTTACCTTCAGTTCTCTCACTTTCAGATTCTGCCGAGCTACTATCATCTGATGACATCGTTTTATTTCGTTTTATCAATATATTTTAGAGGATATTTTAATAAAATAACTATCCACACAAACAACAAATACACCGAGTAGCAACGAAAACAAACTAAAACAGCTGGCTGTGATTACGATTGCATGTCAACAAATATCTCCGCTGAGAATAAGAACCGTACAAGTCCGGACTTGTACTGTTCTTACGCTCAATGCTTTATGATAAGCGTTGCCATACGCCTTAATATTAGTGATATTAGTACTGTTTTTGCACTCATTCAATGAAGCCTTGTATTAAAAACAAAATGGCTATCTCAGTTCAAAATGTCAAATTTTGGACTTGTACTATTCTTGTTCTCACTGATTCAATTATTATGGAGATATTTTAAGTATTGAAAATATGAATCGCTATAATGTACGAGTTAGTTATCAATGGATTGGACTTTTAGTGACATTATGTTTCATAAATTAGTAACTATCTATAATTTAAAAGTGGCAGATCTT